CGTTGGGGGAGATGGGCGGCATACAAGTTTGATAATAAATAAATAAATAAATAAATAAAAAATAAAATCTTTCACTAACTTCAGTTCATTCCCAATTTTAACTATCCCAACGCCATCTTTGCAGGTTGGGACTACTTTTAAGTAGTCTTCCTTAGTGATCTATCCCAGTTTCCATTTCCTGTATGTATCCTTTATTATTTTCAGAACTTTATGAAACTTTTGTGCATCTTCTGCTGTCCTTCATTTTTTTTACTGAAAGGAATTTCAAGCTAGCTTCTCATGCAATGGAAGCCTACTTACCATTGCTTTGGCTTTATTTAAATTGCTTAAATTTTTTATACCAAGATATATAGTTTGACTGCACCCAGCTTTTCATGATGTGATCATTCTAGCTTGGTTTGTGGGGGAGGGGGGTTATGCTGCCAATTTTTTTTTAAAGGACCTTAACCTTTAACCTTGCAATCTTGAACAAATTCACTTTGCTCTAAAAATATTTACATTGTAAATACAGTGTAGAGTGAAAGGGGAATGAATTTAGAAGTGTTGTGATATCATCATACAGTGTGAAAAAAATTAGGTGTGTCAGGTTTTTTGCTCCTGAGTTATAGAACAAGAATCAGGCGTTGTTTAATGATACAGCATTTCATTTTAGCTCAAGGTGATACAAAAAACTAAATGAAAAGTTTTAATGTCAGAAATATGATTCCTTTAAGAAATTGTATTATTTATTTTAAACTATTTGTATCTGTCATTCTCTCTAACTGTTCAGTGTTACAAATAATAAAACTTCTAAGTGTATTTCCTTTGTTAATACAAAATGTCGCTGAAATTTTAAGAAACTTACAGATGTTGAGTGCCTGTTTTGCACTTACATACATGCTCAGAGACAAAGTGTGTGCTAGAAGCAGCAATAGAAGTCTGAATGAAGATCTAGAATAAGGGTTGGGTTAGGAAAGTAAATGCAAAAGGATCTTCTATCAGTGAAATGTTTCCTAAAATAGTTTCTCTTCTTTTTCGCTAAAGCATCTTTATTTTTATTATTTTATTTGCAACCATAAAATCTGTAAATGTTTTAAGATGAAAGCCTTTGTCCTTAAGTCAAACTTCTTTTCTACTTACTTTATTATTGCTCAGAAATAATATTCTGCTACATTCAGTAGAGGGTACTTCCAAATAAGTATGCCAAGAGTTATGACAAACCAGTATTCTCAACCGCTGAATGAGTGGAATAGAAGGATTGAAGCCAGTTTAAGCTGCAAATCTAATATAGAGGTTTTATAGTAATAAGGTCTATTGGGTAGCAAAACTTGCTTTTCAATAAGTCAGCATAGAGTACTTAAGAATGCATCTATCAATGTGTCTGACAAAGATCCAGAGCAATTCTATGGATCAGATATGAAGTACATATAAGGGATTGGTGTACCCATACAGGAATGGAAGTGGGGATTCATCCTCATTAAAATTTGGGGTGATTCATAATAACATTATTCTATAGTAAGGTGCTAGGAAGATACAGAGTGTGGTTCACTCTTATACTTCATGTCACATGCATTTGTCTGAACTTTGATTCTGATTAATCATATCTGAATCATAGTTTCTGTTCATACTTGATTTTTTTTTCTTTTCTGTGCTTGAATTTTCATGAAACTCATTGCAGTTCTCTCTGGAAAAAAGTAGCTATCTTTTAAAATTGGTTCTAAATTAGAAACAGAACTCAAGCAATATTAATACTTGGTCATGATCCCTGCAGGAGATTCCTAAAAATTTACATAATGAGTCTAGAACCTGTGGTCCTCCAGTTATTGCTAATCTACAGTTCCTATCAGCCTTAGCCATCTTGGCACATGGTGATAAGGGCTGAGAGTTATAATCCAGTAATATTTTGAGGACTACAGGTTTAAATAATTTAAAACATGTTTAGTAGCAATTACATGTGCCTTTTCTCCAAGAGAGGTGTGAACAGAGGCTTTTGCAAAGCAGGTCAAAGAGGCCAAATGCCAAAAGCAATGTTATGCTAACATCATGCAAATTCCATCCCTTCTGTATATGTGTCTTGATGTTGCATGCATGGTTAAAGAGAAAGCATAACTGTTTTCATCATTTTTGTATAAAAGTAGTGGACCGCATGGATGCCTCTGCTATGTGTCTTGTATGTTTGTGTATGTGTAGTAGAAGTGCATTCATCAGAAGACGTATAGTTGGGATTAGAAAGAAACTACTACTTTATTTTGTATTCAGAATATAAATTGCATTCATATTACACTAATCCTCTCTCTTTTATGGTGGCTTCTTATAAAACACTTCAATCCTGGAACTTTAGCACCTGATGGAACAATTTTTCTCATATGTTCTTACTTATACTTTAATATAATTCATAGTCACTCTTCATGAAATGGTCCTCTTTCTCTTCATATGTCAAGCATATGTGTGTGTGTATGTATGCATGTATGTGTGTGTGTGCATATGTGTATATATGTGTACACACACACACACAGACAATATTGAAGTAGTGGATAGGTTCTGCCTGTTAAGATCAACCACCAACAGTAAAGGAACAAGCAGTCAAGAAATACACCACAGACTAGTACTTGGTAGAGCAATCATGAAGGCCTTGGAAAAGATATTCAGATGCCATGATATGTCTATACCTACAAAGTTCAGAATTGTGTAAGCCATGGTATTCCCTGTGACACTCTTTGGAAATGGAAGTTGGACTTTGAAGAAGCAAGATAAGAATATTGATGCTT